TTTGCTAAAATCTGCCCACAACCAAAATTGGGAAAATGTTAGATTTTTATTTGGCCAAGTAGTCTAATCACCCCCCTCTAAACCTACTTTCGATCCTACACTGGAGCGAGCCGAAGTCGCTCCATCAACATGGCCCCTCCCTCACTAAAGCCAGAAAAATCTTGTTTTAATAGACAATCGACAAATCGTCGTGCTAAGGCCCGAAAGAACCAGCAGACCAGAGTAGCAATTGTCTCCGATGAAGAGAAGCATATATCAAAAGGATCAAATTTGTAAAATACATGAACACACACGGACGAAGAAGCAAGATCCATCAGAGATACACCTTGACACGCTCTCTGATGATGCAAGACACACTACCGAGCCGGGGGCTAGGCGAGAGAACTTTATTTCATCTCCAGTCGTTGCTACCTCGCCTTTCTGAGTAGGACACAAGCCCAAAAAACTAAAAAACACCTAAAACGAAGCAGGGCCCCTCTAGCCGTCAAGGGTCGAGATCCACCATGCCGCCTATGTCCCTAAGGTCATAGGAAATGAGGTAGATCGGCGGTGACAACGGGCAAGTATCCTGCTCCGTTAGACTGGACGATCCGGCTGCTGGTACATAGCAGAGCCACTATATACAAAATATAGGGACATGATAGAACCCAAACTCACCACCAGTCAAATTTTGCAAAAAGAATGCATGTAGTACAGAATAGCCATAACATTTCCATCACAAGATGTGATACTCCCAGTTTGGAACAGAAAGAAGACGACTATATTGTTCCGGTGACTCGGGTGTGTCTGAATTGTCAGACGCAGTGTAGAAGACGTAGCATCTCTGGACATGTTTCGTTTCCAAGCAATTTCTTGAAAAATGCACCACTGATGTATGCAAGGAGTATCAATTCGAATTGAATGTGTAATTTCTGTCCAGCATGTGCGCTGACTTCATAAGATTAGCTTTATGCTCAATATCCAACATTTTTACAGGTACTCCTTTGTTGGCTTTCCAATCTAAATGATTCCAAAGCTCAACTCCAATATGACCAGGAGCATGAACAAAACATTCCATTGGCTGCTGGGAAGGTCCTATTAAAGCACTGCATTCAAAAAACTTAAACACATCCCAAAAAATATAAACTCCAGAAAGGTGAAGAGCATAATTGGAGACCAATAATGCTAGGATTTGGCACATCTCTATTTCTAATGTTCTATTTACTTCATTCAACAACTAATATTCAAAGTAGTTCTAGTCAGGAATCAAGTCTAGAGGCACCTGCGGAGGCATTTATAAAAATATAAAAAAATCATCATTTTTGTTGTTGTTGCGATCACAGTATGAACTTCATACTTTGCAAACAAACGACTTCAGTGTTTTCTTCGGGAGAAATAAATATAAAACTATCAACTTCAAAGAAACTTATATCATCAACTTTTATGTGAAACCTAATCCCTCTAATTCTAAATACAAAATGAACCGCCAGAACGTCTTATATTTAGGAACAAATTTATTGTTTAAGAATCTAAACACATGAGTATAACATAAGACCATGTTCATTAAAAAAGTTTCGGCCTTTATATAAGATGAATTACCAAAACATCATATATTTAAAAATAAAGGATCTTAAGACATGAGTATAGCAAGGCAGCCTCTGGTCCATCTATATCAAGTATCGATGATCGCATTTATCCTAAATTTATTTCAATTTTTGATAATGCGCATTCAGTGGAAGGAAATGTTTCCATCAACTAATAGGCGCTTACAGCAAGTTCGTAAAATTTTAAGATAATATGCCGTCCCAGTCTCTCAGAGATGCTCATGAGTATTTGCGTGTATGCGTTCATAAAGGTGTATACACGTTTATAAGGGTGAGTGCTCATAGGGATAGGATGTATGCGTGTATGCGTTCATAAAGGTGCGTGCATGCGATCATAAAGGTGTATATGCGTTTATAGGATCATAAAGGTGTATACGCGTTTATAGG